GTCTGATGCCTCTACATAAAGTTCTACATAAGAACTTTATGTAGAGTTCTTATAATAAGGTGTCTCATGGTTTTTGTTTGTTTTGTTATGCTTTCTCCTTTATCCTAGAACGCTTACCATTTTCTATCAGAGTTCTCCTGGAGGCAGCCATTCGAAACTGTGATCAATTTTTGGTGAAGAAAAATGATGTTGAAAATATCCTAAATTGGAATATCATGCAGCATAAGAACATAGAAGTGCCATTTAAGCCTGCCCGTGTCATCCTGCAGGACTTCACGTGAGCCTAATATGTCACTGGACTCTCTTCTACTCTGCCTTTCTTGTCAGACTTTAAAGAAGCTTTAAAAAAAAAAACTAAAAACCACAGTGACCATATAATTTATCGCCCAATATCCAGACACTTTTGAAAATGAAAGGGGGCTCTTAATCCCACACAGCACGAGATTGTCTCAGGCAAATCAGGTTGTGTAATCACTGCACCTTTCCAGTGGCAAAGGTCATTGTCTTTGGTCTTGGGGAATCACAATTCTAAGTATACTAGCGAAAGGTGAAAGAAATAACATAGAGTAGAGCTATCTTGGAATCTTTTTTTTCCCACATGTCCTATCACCCAGGGAGCCAAGTTTCAAACACATAATATTCCAAGCTGCCCTTGGAATATTAATGTGACGTGTAGTTCACAAGGCCTGATCTGTTGCTCTTCAGCCTCAGTTTGCCTCCTGCTAGTCCCAGGAATCTTTGTTCCCCATCAGGCCTCTTTTTTGAGATAATACTACCTTTCCATTTTTACATGATGTTAATATATTCCTCCTGGAGACCAAATTTAATTTTTCTAAAGGAAGAGCACCCAAATTTTATACTCTAATATAATGAAAAGGAAGGATTCACTTATAAATTTGACTCACAGCCTACTTTTCTGAATTATATCCATTCTTTTAAATCCGGTCTGAAGTTGAAGATGTAACCCATATGTCTTGTCCAGGTCTTTGTCAACTCACCATGTGAATGGGAAACAGTCATGACACTAAAAGTTTTAGAGTTTTTAAGCACCAGCTTCACTGGAGTTTCTCTATTTAGACTATATTGTTTATTAACTTTAATGTTTTGATAAAATTGCATATAGAGATACTGCTGAGTCATGGCCCGTACTACCTAGGTGATTTCTGCTCAAGGAAATGGAGTTAGAAACTTTTCACTTTTCTAAGTCCTTCATCGTTAGCTTCACTGATGAGACAGTCTCATTGCCAATTTTGTCAATGGAGACAAAAGCTGAAAAACTCACTTATATGTGTTTAACAGATTTATTTTCTGTTTAATTCCTTCTTTTCTTAGGGGCGTTCCAGCTGTGGTTGACTTTGCTGCAATGCGTGATGCTGTGAAAAAGTTAGGAGGAGATCCAGAGAAAATAAACCCTGTCTGTCCTGCTGATCTTGTAATTGATCATTCCATCCAGGTTGATTTCAACAGAAGGTGAGAGATTAAACTGAATACCTGGGTTTTATGCTTTGTGCAAAATCATGGCATGCAATTCTTCGTGTGTGTGTGTGCATGTAATTAAATAAAAGAAGAAAATCTTTAAAAGGTATATTCAGAAAAACTCAAACTTAATAGAGATTTTCCAGTGAAAAGTTTGGGAGGTAGGGGGCAGTGAATTAAAAATTCTTTTTTTCTATTTATTTCTTGGATAGGAGCAGCCTACGTTTAAATTTAGCTTGAAGTCTGGGTGAAAAACACATGAATTTCTGCCATTAAAGTTTGTCAGTACAAGTAGGTATTTGACTTTAAGAGAGCTTGAAGTTTTTTTTGTTTTTTTTTTTTTAAACCACTGGAGTCTTGTTTTTTTGATCCCAAGTAACTGTTTCATCTGGCTATCTCTGTCTCTCCATGTGGGTTTCCATAATCTTTTCCTTTGTTCGTTCTTATATCGTTTGGGATATCTGCTTCTCTTTTCCTGCCAGAATCCTACCATTAGCCCTAAAATCTCAGTGGCAGTCAATAATAAGAATTTATTTTTTACACATCTACAAGTTGGTCATACAGCGGTCTCCAACGTTTTTGGCACCAGGGACCAGTTTCGTGGAAGACAGTTTTTCCACGGACTGGGGCGGGGGAAGGAGGGGATGGTTTCAGGATGATTCAAGTGCATTACATTTATTGTGCACTTTATTATTTTTACATTGTAATACATAATGAAATAATTATACAACTCACCATAATGCGGAATCAGTGGGAGCCCTGAGCTTGTTTTCCTGTAACTACATAGTCCTACCTGGGAGTGATGGAAGACACTGCCACCCAAAGTGTGTCGCATATGTCTAGTCTATTCCATAATCTCGTTTTGCTTGCTGTCACTGCAGAAGACCCTGCTTCACAGAGATAGGATGTTGGAAATGGAACTTTTCAGTGCTTTTGTGGCATTCTCAGAATATTCCACCCTGACTTTAATCCAGAACATGTGGAGATTTGAAAATGTTTCAAACATACTTTTAAGGCCACTGTCATTTGCAGTCTCATGCAGTTGATCCTCTTCTAGCATGGACAAAGTCAATTCACCTAGCTTATTTACAAATGGGTCATGGATCCATTCCTTCCCAGTTCGGGGATCTTTTGTGGTTGGCAAGTAATGTTTAAACTCTTTAAAGCTCTAGAGCAACTCTCGTAACTCAAAAACTCTGGCCAGTGATCTGCCTTTAGAAAGCCATCTCACTTCTGTGTACAAGAGAAGACAGATGTGCTTTGTGTCCATCCCCTCACAGAGCTGTGCTAACAGATGTGAGTTAAAGGCATGTACTTTAATGTGGTCAGTCCTATTAAATCACATCTCGCAAAACGTAAGTTCAGATGACATATCTCAGCTAGCCAGCTTTTCTCTATGGATGACACAGTGCATAGACATTGAGAAGCGACCTCTTTGACCTGAGTGGTGAAACCAGAAAGCCGTCCGATCATGGCAGCCGCTATGTCCGTGCGTATACCGACGCAAAATGACCAGTTCAGTTTTCCTGATATGTAATTATTCAGAGTCTTGAAAAGTGCTGCAGCTGTGGTGTTGGTTGGCAGTAAAGGTGCACATAACATATCGTCATGCACAGCCTGCTGAAAAATATATCACACAAAAACTAGCTTTGTTGCCTTGTTGTCAACATCAGTAGACTAGTCAACCTGGATTGCATACCATGGTGACTCAGTAATCCTCTCTAACAAAGGTGCCTCAAGATCCTCTGCTAGTTCATCAATCCGTCTAGTTATGGTGCTAGCCGAAAGAGGAGCACTTGCCACCTTTTGAATTGCAGCCTTTCCTAAAACTTCACAACAAATGTCCTTAGCAGCAGGCAGGGTCAAACTCTTAATCGTAAAGGGCTCCTTAGCTTTAACCAGTAAGAATGATGCTCTCAGCACAGACACATTTGATGAAGTGGTGGCCTTCAATAATTGCTTCTGTTTTACGTATTCACATTTTTTTCTTTTAAAAAAACTCTAAAGGCTTGTCTTTTAATGTAGGGTGCTTAGTCTCCATGAGGCAAAGCAGTTTTGAAGGTTTCAGGGCTGCGTTGGATAGCTGGTTGCCACATGTACAAAGTGGGCTTGGAGAATATGAATCACCTGTTGCAATGAACCCTTAATTTAAGTAGGACTCTTGGTATTTTCTTTTAAATGCAGCTTTCTTTTTGTTGGCAGTCTTTTTGTTTAGAGTCTTCTGCTGTCTCATCACTGGGCCTTTCCCCCTTTTCAGAGAAGCTCTCCAGTGGTATTGTTTTTTACTCATTCTGGCTAAGTTTAGTTTGTGGGCTTACCACAACTCTGACTAAGTATACAGTGCGGGAAAGAGGAATTGATGGAAGTAGTAAATAAAATAATGGGTGGGCCATACATAGACTAAAATAAGTATTGGATTCTGACTTTAAGCCTGCCACCAGATGCAGCTGTACAACTGAAGTATATCAACTCACTTGCCACTCTGAAGCCTGCCATTAGATGCAGCTTAATTGTCACTTGCCACTCACTGATAGAGTTTTGATATGAGTCTACAGGCAGTTGATTTATTATGGTCTTTGTGCAGTCAAACCTCTCTGCTAAAGTTAATCTGTATTTGCAGCCACTGCCCAGCACTAGCATCACTGCCTCAGCTCCACCTCAGATCATCAGGCTTTAAATTCTCATTAAGAACCATGCAGCCTAGATCCCTCGCATGCACAGTTCACAGTAGGGTTCACACTCCTATGAGAATCTAATGCTTGATGATCTGAGGTGGAGCTGAGGTGGTGATGCTGGCGCTGGGGAGTGGCTGCAAATACAGATGAAGCTTTGCTCCCTCCCCCACCACTCACCTTCTGCTGTGCAGTCTGGCTCCTAACACACTATGGACTGGTACCGGTCCATGGCCTGGGTGTTGAGGATCCCCTGGGTTAGGAGGTCAACTGATCTAAGCTGAGCGTAGAAGGATAGCTCTGCTTCATCCAGCCCTGGCTAGGTTGACTGCTTACACTGCACTGCACATATGCAAGGCAGCTGGGACAGTGGCATTCCGTGTGTGTTTCTTTTGGTGGTCCAGGCTGAAGGAGAAAGCAGCTGATCACAGAGGCTCAAGAGGGCAAGCAGGAACCCACAATATTTTGAGGCCTAGATCAAAACAAGTCACACGGTCAAACCTAAAGTCAAAATGGAGAGAATATTGGCTTTTGTAGAAGTAACTGCAAGATTATGCAACAAGAGAGAGCAACCAGGTCCTGCTAGAAGGTTGGGATCTGAACTTAGAAGTATAACTAGATAAAGGATGATCATCTGTCTGTGAAGAAAGAAATAATTATTCTATATACAGTGCTAGGAAAATTAATTATTTGGTAAAGGGAACAGTTCATATAAATTGAAACATTAATCTTTAAAAAAATTAAGTTAAAAAATTTAACAGAAAATTTAGGGATATATATGTCAAATGTCTTGATGAGAGAGATCTTTCTAAAGTTAGAAGCAATGAACGAAAAAAAAAGTGCGGGAAAGGAATCTATAGATTTAATGACTTCAAAGTTAACAAGAAATAACGTAAAAAATATTTGCAACAAATAGGACAAAAGATTAATATCCTTAACATAAAGAGTCTGTATATTCAATTTAAAAAATAGTAAAAAGGAAAGTGAACATTTTACAATAAAAGAAAATGTAAATGGTAAACAATATATAAAGCCTTTTCAACCTTACAAGTCATAAAAAAGTAAATTAAATCATTGAGATAGCATTTTCTCATCAATATAGTTAAGAGTAGAAAATAAACATTATAAAGGTGTCATGAAGGAGATACTTTTATACACCACTAAAGCACTGTAAATTAGAAATGATGAAAGCAATATGTATTAAGGTGCTTAGAAACTGAGATATTCTTTGTCCTGGAATTTCTACTTCCAAACTTATGCTTAATAGATACATGAAATTCAGAAAAAGCTTAATAAATAAATAGTGTTTGTTAAGGTATTATTTCTATTAATGAACACCTAGAAGCATTCTAAATGTCCAACAAAGGAGAACGATTTATTAAAGTATGGTATGTCTTTAAAGTGAATTATTAGGTAACTTTTACAGTTATAATGTGCTACATAACACTTGGAACATGTTTGTGTCAGTTCAATGAGCCAGGTGTAAATTTCAAGTATAGACTGATCTCAGCATGATGAAAAGTTATGTAGAGATTAAAAGATTGGAAAGAGAAGGTGGTAAACCGATTATCTCTAGGATTGTAATTGTTCTTTATTTTTACAATAAGTAGCTATTGCTTTATTATAAAATATCATTTAAGAATACAAAACAAACCATTTGAAGGGGGAAAAGGCAACCATTATTTGCTTCCTTGGGGATTTAAGTGAGTTCTGTACAGCCTCAAGAGAAATGTAGAAACTGGTCATTCTCGAATTAGTGTTGCCAATATCCAAACAAATAAATGCAGGGTAAAGAAAAATCTGCTTTATCTTTAACTGACAGTTCTTGGAACAAAAAGTCTGGATACTTGCCAGTTCTTTCCTTTCCTTTGGACTCTAAACCCGTCCTTAGGCAACATCTTTTTTGTTTTTCTTTCTTAAATCACATGATCTCAATTGAATGTTTTGATTTCAGAGGGAAGAGTTAAATATATATATGTACACACAATGTTATCCTATTTAAGACTAAGGATGTTTCCTAAAGTCCTATTTTAGAAGTTACAAAAAGTAGCCTCACAAAATCATGGCTAACCTTATCTTTCTTGGAAACTCTCATTGGTGTGGATGAATTTACCTCATTTTGCTGGCCTGGAAAGGGAAAGTACTGGTGAAGACAGGGTTGCAATTCTTTTAATGTCTAAAGCCTTTGGACTCACAATTCAAAGAGCTCCTGACTATTCAGCAGTTAATGATTCTGGGTCATCACCAAATTCACAGTGATTCTTTTTCTCTGTAAACCTTGACATTCATCAACTTTGGTTTCAATTTTTTATGGACATTTTTCATTTACACTGTAGTACAGAAAACATTATTCTGAAAATAGCAAATCCAGAGCTGAACTTTGATTTCACACTGATATTCAAATCTAGCTAACACTATTCCTTTTTTTAAAAATTAAGTTTATTGGGGTAACATTGGTTAATATAATTATATAATTTTCAGGTGTACATTATAATTTGACATCTGTATATTTTATTGTGTGTTTATCACCCAAAGTCCAGTTTCCTTCAGCTACCATATATTGGATCTGCTTTACCCAATTCACCCGCCTATTACCCCCTATATTTGACCTCTTTAACCCCATCTACCTCCCACCTCCTCCCCCACCCCCTACCCTCTGGTAACCACTAGTCTATATTCCATGTCCACGAGTCTTATTTCTGTTAGAAGTGCTTTCATTGGTGGTGTTTTGTTTTCATTTCTTAAATTTGGTTTTGCAACTTGACCTCCCTGTCTCTTTCCTCATGTTTGTAAGGAATTAAATTTGATATTTCTCAAACTTTGTGGAACTGTATACTGTAGGCTTATTTCCAGCTATTTCCCAAAATGAAATAGAAAAACTGAGTAAAGAGTGGTAGGTGGTAAATTTTCTCAGTTGAATATTTCTAAGCTCTTTGCATGGTTTGAATAATATTAATTGGCCTCACACAATCTTTAGGAATTGAGGATCTAACACATTATTGTAATATTTTACAAAATTTTCTCAGGGGGAAAAAAAACAAACATTTTAAAAAAATCCCAACAAGTATATTGTAACAATTTCTGACTAGATTTTATGAGTGTGAAAACTCTCTCCTTTGTATATACTGTTTGTGAATTTTTAGAGTACCATTAAATATAATATTCAGAAATGTTGAAGTACATCCAAAAGTATGTACAAATCTGAATTCAAATTATGTGACTCAGGAGAATTTTCCTCTTTAGACTGTCAGGCCATTCACATTCAGAGACCTTATTAAAAGCTCATTAGACTGAGTGAATTTAGGAAAGTTGTTAGTGGTATAAAAATCTGAATTGTAGGTCTGTTTATACATGCCAATAACCAGAACTAAGTTAATTGAGCCAAAGTTAGCTTAACTGATGTTATGTTTTCATGAATAAATAGATTTTTACCGGGAATTAACATATAAAACAACCAAAGCATTTCTGACTTCTCCTTGTCCTGTAAATACGTCATTTATATCAAATGGATGTTCTCATCATTCTCTGGGGGTAATATTCCCCTTCCAACCTTGTTTCTGCTGTGAGAAGCTCTGATACCCTTCTGGTGCTGCAGGCAAGGGGATAAAAGTTAATGGGAATTCACAAGTGCTCAGAGTACAGCAGAAGTGATGGGGACACCAGAGCCAAGGGACCACATATGATTAAGAATAATGTTTGCAATGACCTGAATGGACCTAAAAGTTATTATGCTGAGTGAAATAAGTGAGACAGAAAAAGATAAATACCATATGATTTCACTTACATGTGGAATCTAAGGAACAGTTAGTAGTATTATATTGGCTAGGTGGAAAACCAGAGGAGAGAAGGAGCAATTAGGAGGATCATTTTATAAACTATATAATTGTCTAACCAAGGTAGTGAATACTTGAAACTAATAAAAAAAAAATCTCCAATAAAAAAAAGAATAATGTTTCAAGATGCTTTCCTTTTTTCTTTTTCTTTTTTTTTAAATTAAATCCATTTAACAGACCTACTATACCAGAAACAGTTTAGCATAGAAGAGAGATTAGTGAACACGACTTTAATGCAGTGGGTGAATGTAGTGATCACAGAGAAGGGGCAGATCATCCTGACTCGGGCCATCAGAGGGTCGGTCCTTCATGCGGTGTCCCTTGTTCTGAGTACTGAAGGATATTTACCACAGGGAGAATAGCAAGAAAAGGCATTCTGCACGGAAAGAAGATTGTGTGCAAAGGGACTTGGGGAGAATATGAGGTCTGCACTGCAGTGCGTCTGAAGCTTGGATGGGAAGATAGGAGAGGGCTTATAAAGGAAGTCTGAGGAGAGATTGTAGGACTGTTTTTTAAAGCAAGGTGTTTATACTTTTATTTGGCAGGTTCAGGGTGGGTCACAGCAATCTGTATTTTAGAAAACCAATTCTGGTGACAGTACAAAAGTATTCTGGTGAATAGACTGACAGAGAAACCAATTAGGGAGCAATCTCTGGAATAAAGACTTTGACAGTTGTAGTTGCTACATGTTAGGACAGGAGGTCGTTAAATGAGATATGGACGGACAAGGACGAGAATGAGATTTAGGAAAGAAGGTCAAGCAATTAGAGTTTGCCTGTTGAGTTTGTGGTGCCCAAGATATTCCTGATGTAGATGCCCCAGATACACTGGGGATGTGGATCTGGACCTGAAAAGACAGGTAGGAATTGGAAGGATAGAGCCCTCAGTGTACTAGTGAGATGGTGGAGTTGAGTACCTTGAGGACTAGCTAGCTGCATCTCGTCCAGAGGATCCAGAGGGTCTGCTGACCGGGGGGTCAGGAGTGGTGTGCTCCTTTGCTCCACTGTACCAGGGTCTCTCCTTTCTCTATTTCTTCCTTTTGCTCTTCTCTAACACATACACACATTGACAGACATTCATTCTGTACATCAGGGATCAGCAAACTTTTTCTGTAAAGGGTCAAGAGTAAATATTTTAGGCTTTGCTGGCCACAGACTGTCTCTGTTCACATTCTTTTTTTCCCCAACCTTTAAGAATCTAAAAACTATTCTTTGCTTGAGGGCCAAATACATAGAGATGCTGGGTGGGCCTCATTTGGCCCTTGGGCTATAGTTTGTGGGCTACTGCTGTAAGACACTCTCAGGGATTGATTTCATTAAAGCGACTAACACTATTCTTGGAAAATATTCACATCAAGAGAAAAAGAGAAAAAAAAAATCAGCATGGTAACTGAATGTGTTTTTTGTAAATAACAAATGCTTCTAGTTCTTTCCTTCCCAAAGAGTGCCTACCTATTGTTTTCTGACTGACTTCCCCTCACCCCTCAGCATACATCTATGTGATTTCATTTGGAAAGGCATTTCTGACCCCTGGCCTGAGTGCTCCCATGGCACCTTGTACTTTCCATATCGTGACATTGATAGTCACACTCATAATTGCTTGTACCTCTCACCAGGCTCTGAGCTCCAAGTAGGCAGTGCACATGCTGTTTTTGCACTATTGTGTTCCCCACATGTGCCATGAGGTAGGCTCTGCAGATCATCAATAAGTGAAGGAAAAGGGTGGATGAGAGGTATAGTGGTTAAAGTAGAGGCCCCAGGGCCATCAGACCTGGGTTCAGACAACAGCTCTGGCCACGGACACGCTCTCTAACCCTTCTGTGCCTCGGCTTCCTCTTCTACACATTGGGGTAATAGTAGTGCCTATGTGAAGGGTCATTGTGGTGATTGAATGAGTTCATGTGTGTAAAGTATGTAGAATAGTGATGGGTTCTTAGTAATGTTAAGAGTGTTAACTATTAATGAAGTTGGACTTGGGTTTGTCTTAGCTATTAATTTTACTATGCTTCCTTATGTTCACTCAATCCATGATACATAGTTTATGAGCACCTTCTGTGCCTCCTAGCATAGCTTGTTTCCTATCTCCCAACATAAGCAGATGAAAATGCCAGCCCAGACGGCTCAGCCCGGAGAGGTGTTATAATGAGGACATGGATGAGAAAGGAGTATAAGAATACGGGCTCTTTAAACATCTAAGCCGCTCTTGGGGTTGGCTCCATAGTGTAGTGATTAGCATGTCTGCTTTACACGCAGAAGGTCCTAGGTTCGCACCCCAGGTGGAGCCACAGACCATACCCGGGGTGAGCCAGGCCCCCCTGAGTGCCCTCGGGGCACCGGCCCTGGGTACACGCCCCGAGCATGTGGGAGGAGACACCCTGCCTTCAGAGATCCAGTTCCTAAGGGGAAATGGCAACATCCATAGGTCAGGGGTAGAAATTGGGGGGTGGAAATTAAAGAGGGGGGAAAAATAAATATCTAAGCTTCTCTTGTTACCATAAATATCTTGAGTCTGTTCCTGCGAGTCATACTTTATGATTAAATTAGTTTTAACTTAAATTCACTTAATATTTTCTACCCACAATGTTTAATGGCATCACAGGAATCAGTTGAGCCAAATAACAATTACTTTTTTTTTACCTTTGCTAATTACCTTTCCTTTCCCATGTCAATGAATGAATAATACCACCCAGCAGGCCTGCAGATGAAATTACCATTTTATTTATTCATCACCAATAAATTTGATGTATAACATTTTAAGCCTTAAAATTTATACATTTAAGTTTTTCTCTCTGACAGGGCAGACAGTTTACAGAAGAATCAAGACTTGGAGTTTGAAAGAAATAGAGAACGATTTGAATTTTTAAAGGTATGAGCAGAGTTTGGTCCCCGTGGTTGATTCTTTAGATATGTGGGGTTCGAGGGAGGAGCGCCACAGAGCTGGGCTGCGCAGAAATGTGTCGGGCATTCATAGTGTTCTTTCCGTTTTTCAATCCTAGTGGAGTTCTCAGGCTTTTCGCAACATGCGGATTATTCCCCCTGGCTCAGGAATCATCCACCAGGTGAATTTGGAGTATCTGGCAAGAGTGGTATTTGATCAAGATGGATATTATTACCCAGACAGCCTCGTGGGCACAGATTCACACACCACCATGATTGATGGTTTGGGCGTTCTTGGTTGGGGTGAGTGTTCTTCTATATATGTTGTTCTATAGCGTGTACCTTTATTTTGATACCGTTACATCCCGGTAGCATGAATTTGCATGACCACAAGTATCAGAGACGTATTTTGTCTGTTTCATTCACTGCTGTATTTCCAGTGCCCAGCAAAGTGCCTCATGCCTATGTTTGGAAGAATGAACTGGAATAAGGGATTAGGGACATTTAGAATAAACCACCTAGGGTATTTGTTAAAAGTAGAGATTCCTGAACCTCAGTCCACTTGGTGTGTAAGCAAGGGGATTTTGATACAGGTGTTTGGAGACCACACTTGGAGAAGCACTTACTAAAAATTCTATAGAGAGAATACTGCTCTTTATGGAAATATAACTGTGTTCTAGTACAACATTGTAACTGGGTTCGTTATCTATTAATGACACTGAATTATGCCTGAGGGATATGGTGAGAAATAAAGAAAGCATTATTTTATCATGCCACTCCTTGCAGGTGTGGGTGGTATTGAAGCAGAAGCTGTCATGCTGGGTCAGCCAATCAGCATGGTGCTTCCCCAGGTGATTGGCTACAGGCTGATGGGAAATCCCCATCCTCTGGTAACATCCACTGACATCGTGCTAACCATTACCAAGGTAACATATGCTGCCTGTTCTGTGGTTTTGGAGAGTCATAGTGACAAACAGAGAGGAAATATATGATGAGGTCTCTCTTGGTTTCCATGTGCTCTGGAAATGCTAGAAAACAGTATGTTGGTGACTTTAAAAACAGATTGGATAAGGGAGAATTCTATGATTAAGTTTTAGATAATTATGTTTATTTTATTCCTGTCACTGCATGGATTTTTTTTCTTTAAAAACGTTTTTGAAATTGTGAAATATTTCAAATACACAAAAGTAAAAATTATATTCATATATATGCCTACCCACATAGAATTAACAGATGATAACATTTTACCATGTTTGCTCCAGAGCTTGCTTGTATGTGTACTTTTTAAGAAATAAAATGTAATATTTATAGCTAAAGCCATCCTCCCATTCCTAGAAATAATAACCATTCTGAGGTTGTAAGAACCATTCTCATGCATGTGATTATACTTTTACTACAGTCTCCTCCCCGCCCATAGTTCTTCTTTGTGTGTAAATAACAAACTCTTTCTATGAATGTTTGATTTTTTTATTCCCCTCTCTGCATTGTAAGTTACATTGTTACAAGAGATGTTTCTCTAAGCTGGAAAATATTTTGGTTTTTTTTCTCTTTTTCTTTAGCACTTTTAGGAAATAATTCTTTTTGTGTCTGTGTGATGTGCTTGCTTTGCAAAATGAGGCCAGTTTATTTTGAAAGATTATCAGAAAAATAATTTTTTTATTATCACAAATAGAATTTTTTCTGATTGTACAGTTTGTTAGGCTTGGGGTATTTGGAATGACATTATACTGATAAAGGCCAAAAGAAGTTTCTTTTCGATTTAATCTTTGTGGAATTTGGAATTGGATTTAATTGAACACTATAGTTTATCATAGATGTCTGTGCATTGTTTTTCATATGTGGAATAATATAAGACTTGCACACATAATTTGGCAAAATTCCATGTAACCAAAAGAGCCTGTCCCTGTGGTTGTCCACGGTTCATGGAAGTGGCTTCATGTAAGGCCAGGTTCGTCACTGAGGCCCAGGCCTGGCCATTGGCCTGCGTGGAAAAGGAAGTCAGACTCTCTGGATGTTTTGGTCCCATTAGACTTGTACCTATGTTCAGCAGATTTGTTTGTTACACCCTTAAGAGCAACCACGTACTTACTCAACTTGTGCAAGTCATAATATATTTGGGTTGAAAGAATTTAATTTCTAGCACTTGTAGGCACTTCCAAGGATCTCATTAGAGAGAATGTTTCCCATTTTGAAAGAGGTTTCTTCATGTTGTTACTTATATTTTTGGCGTTACTTTTTCTTACCTTGTTTTGGAAGAACTGTTTTGACATAATTTTAGATTTACAGGAGAGGTCTTGTTACCTTTCTCCTGGCCTCCCTAAATGTTAATTTACAACACCATGCCACATTTATCAAAACGAAGACGTTAACATTGTTATGGCCCTATTAACTAAACTAGAGGCTTCACGAGTTTTTCAGTAGTATCCTTTTTCTGTTCTAGTATCGATCTAGAATACCGTGTTATATTTAGTTGGCATTACTTTTTAAGTTTTATTTTTTAAAGTACAAATCAAAAATATTTTGAGCTAACTTATTGTTTGTGTTTACTCACAAGGTTAGTTTATAAGAATTACAAGGTGATAGCTCTGCATTTTAGATATGGTCTATCAACTCTGACCCTTTTCTGTCCTGCTGCTCAGCACCTCCGCCAGGTTGGGGTAGTGGGAAAATTTGTCGAGTTCTTTGGGCCAGGAGTAACCCAACTGTCCATTGCTGACCGAGCCACGATAGCCAACATGTGTCCAGAGTATGGAGCGACAGCCGCCTTTTTCCCGGTCGATGAAGTCAGTATCAAGTACCTCATACAGACAGGTATGTGTAGAACCGTGAGAACAGAAGGCCCTTGGTAAAGTTTCACAGAATGCTGAGGATTGGAGCACTGCCTTCGGCCTCTGCCCCTCAGAGTGTACTGGGTCAGATTTACAGATTTTTTTTCTTCTCTCTGTGAAGTCAAAATAGTTGTTGAGACTATGGCCATCCCACCCTGAACAAGCCTGATCCCATCTGATCTCGGAAGCTAAGCACGGTCAGGCCTGGTTAATATTTGGATGGGAGACCACCTAGGAATACCAGGTGCTGTAGGCGTTAAAAATAAATAAATAAGCAAATAGATAGATGAGAGATAGATAGATAGATAGATAGATAGATAGATAGATAGATAGATAGATAGATAGATAGATAAAGGATGGGATTGTAAACTGACAAGGTCCTTGAAATTTGTGAGGTCAACCAAGGGCTGCCTCGCCTAAAAAAAAATAGTTGTTGAGATTTCAGAAGATATAGGTAGACATGGTATGGCGAATAGAAAGAGCTCAGATATGCTGGAAGCCTAGATATTTATAGTGGTCTTCTACTACTAGTTATATAGCATGAAACAAGTAATTGTGACTGCTGTCTGTGGGGCATCCGCTGTGTGCCAAGCACCTGGTACCCATCCTCTTAATGTATCTGTAGGGTAGATTGATTGATTAGTTAATTAACTAATAAGAGAGAAAACCGAAGATCAGAGAGGTGGGGTAAGTATCCAAAGCTAATAAATAAGGGAGTTAGAATCCAAACCTGAGGCCTCCAGGCTCCAAACAGGGGCAGCACTCCATGATACCCGTCTCAGAGCTGTCTAAAAGGTAAAATGAAAGACTGTATCTGAAGCTATTTTGGAATGTCAGTGATTTTTTAACTGTGTGTTTGTGTGTGTATACATATATATACGTATATGTATATACCTATACCTATACATATATTTGTTCAGAAATTTGACTTTAACTTTGAGAAAGGGTTCGTTTGTTTGTTTTTAATTTCTCAAGTTTATTTTTTAAATACTAAATATTCATTAAGTCATTCATTTGATACATTATCTAGTCTGAGTCCCAGAGGTTCAGCTTAAAAAGTCTAAGCCCTTGTGGAGCTTACATTCCAGTGAAGGAGAAAAATAAGTACATAAGTATTAATATAATATATTTATAAGATAATGAAGAAGTGGAGGGGGGTGAGTAACCTGAGGATGCTATTTTCTAAGGAACGTTAGCAAAGGGCTCTTAGAAGTGCAATTTGAATAGATGTCTGAGTGATGGGGGACAAGCCATGAGAAGTGATGGAGGAGGTGTTTTTCAGGCATAGGAAACCACCGGTGCAAAGGCCCAAGACAGAGAGAGGTACAGTGTGTTCAGGAGACAGCAGAGGGGCCTGTGCTGCTAGAGCCCAGGGTCGAGGCCATGGGAGGTGAGTTCAGAAGGTGGGCAGGCGGGGGCCAGGGCCTGATCCCACAGGCTCGTAAGCCACAGTGGGCAGTTAGGATTTTATTCTAATGTTCTAGGAAGCCACTGGGTCATTTTGAACAACAAGGTAACGTGAAATAATTATTTTTAATACCTCATTCTGTGTGACAGAGATGGAGAAGACCTTTTATTTTCCAAATGACTCTTAAAATTTGAACTAATTCATTAAGGAGAAAAGAACAGACAAGCTTGTGCATTCTCATCTGTATTCAGTGTTTACTATTGAAGGGTTTCAGTGGCCAGTGTTTCTTGTGAAATATTAATAGTCTTGGGCGTTTAAGGTAAGAGCTAAGCCAAGTTATTTTGGCAAAGTAGGACAGGGGCAAGTACACATCTCTTGATAAGGTTTCATAAGAATCTTACAGACTGCAGGTAAATCCAAGTCTTCTCCTAATTTTCTCTAGATATAGTTAAGATTGTGATGAAAAAGCTTATTTAAAAAATGTTTTTATTAAATATAACCATATTAAAATTGATTGATACCTCCCGTGATCCCCAAAGGATTTGAAGTGAAAAAGATTTAGAAATTAAAGAACAGAATAAATAGTTGAGGGAATCACCTTAAATAAGGGAGGGAAAAAGGGGAAAGCTGCAAATATTTCCAGAGCTAAGATTAGTTTCTGTGACTCAAGAGGTGTCCACTGAACTTCTTACTGATCTGACAACAAATTGGAAACATCTGTAAAATTGAAATAAATATACCACATCAGAGAAGTAGAATCCTTTCTCATTCATACCTAAGAGAACTTTCTTCCGTGCATGTTCATGAAGAGATGTCATGAGATGTAATGAACAGTGGGCTCAATAACGAGTCATGATAAATGTGTTAATGAAGCTCAGACCGTCAGCTCTTACGAGGCTCATGCTGAAAGCTGATGACATTTACAATTCAGTTAAAAGAAACAGGCAAACAAAAAAGTGCTGATCTATTGTGGGTTCAAGAGTCAAGTTTTCAAACAGTCTTATTTGATTGTCAGAGAAATGGATAGACTGCATGTCCATTGGGCATACTTTGTGAGTATTGTCTCTTACAACTAGGGTCTCAAGAATTAAATGCAGAGCATTCAGGGTCATATTCCTGGTGATACAGCATTATGAATTAAGACTTTGGAGTCAAACTCAGGTTTGGATCTGGTTCTGACATTTACTGGCTGCGTTGCATGGGAAAGTTACTTAATCTTCTTGAGCACCATTTCCTCATCTATAAATGAGAATAACAACAGTATTTGTCTCATAAGGTCATGATAAAGGATTAAAGATTGAAATAATGCATTCGAAACATTTAGCACACAGTGCCAGGCACACAGAAAGTGCTCATAGCTGGTAGTTTGTGGTAGAAGTCAGGGTGGATTATTATTTTAACAATAATAATATGGAATGCTGAGTCTGTGGCCAGTTAAAGGCAGAGGCATAGGTGTGCGCTGACAATTACTAGGCTTAGGATCCTCCTAATTTAAGACCATAATAGAGAGGAGGCTAGAGTCTTCTAGTCTCTTTGGTAGGAACGACAAATCAGTTATTGTCCCCTAATAAATAGCAGCATCAGCTAGAGAGTCAGACTGTTAGCCTGAATGCTGAGGTATCAGCAGAGCTGTTGTGTGTAAGTGAAATGCATATTACTTGCATAATTGCTGGTGGAGGCGGTGGTTTATAGCTTTCACCAGGAAGTATTAATATTTATTACTTGTTACCTCTTAAAATGCCCATTTAGGTCGTGATGAAGAAAAGGTAAAGCACATTAAAAAGTATCTGCAGGCTGTAGGAATGTTTCGTGATTTCAGTGACCCCTCTCAAGACCCAGATTTTGCCCAGGTATGGGAGCGCCTTCACTAACTGTTTCTTTTTCCCCAAGGCTGTGATTTTAGTCATATATGTTTTTTCTTGGGTGGTATAGTTAAAAAATTAGCCATTGCCAAGTCATTGCTGGAGAACGGGGTGTTCAAGAGCCGAAAAATCAAAAAGATAAGGAACTGTGAACATTAAACAATGTAACTTCATCCATTCTCCCTGGCCATTAGATTGGGCTGGATGTGCTTCCCCTTTTTGACTCTGATTTACTCCTCTTATGTAGAAGACCTTGATAGAAGGACTTCACTAGAAGGACTAGAGCTATTTAAAGGCTAAGCTCATCGATATTATAGATGGGGAAAGAAATGGAGGTGTGAACATATGAATTAGCTCTGATTTATCCCACGGCTTACCTTCGTTTACTTTCTAGGGTGCACACTGAATCCACATTTTTCTCAGCAGCCAAGATTAGAGGGTATACTAGATGTGGGACCCTCGTTTTCTTTCATTACATCAAGGGAAGGAAATATTCCATTAAACTAAGGCCCATTTCCTGATATTTGATGTTTTAATGGCTGTATCCCTCCCAAATCATTTTAGAAAAAGTGCAGCAGTCTAGGTATTTCAATAGAAAACCCATCTCAGACTAACGTAAAATGAAAAGGATATACACGCTGCTTCGCAAAGATGGGCGAGTGGAAGACACTGGGCAGCCGCTCCAATGCCCACCCTACAATGTCTTTCTGAGAGGTGACAAGGCATCCTGCCTGTGCCACGCTCTGCAAGTGACTCTCTTCATGACTGGAAATTCATCCCTTAAGTGTTAAAATGAATATCAACTTTCTTGTTTTGAATGTGGTACTTTAGTTTGTTTATTTTAGTTGTTCTGGTCTTTTAAATGCTCTGCGTGGCTTGTGTTTTCTCTTTGTGGGTATAAGTGTCAGTTCTACAGTTCCTTTTCTTCTGGGGGAACAGGTTGTGGAATTGGATTTGAAAACAGTGGTACCTTGCTGCAGTGGACCCAAGAGGCCTCAAGACAAAGTTGCCGTGTCTGACATGAAAAAGGACTTTGAGAGCTGCCTTGGAGCCAAGGTAGGGGCCCAGGAGAGGTGGGTGGAAGTCATGCCCAGCCCTGCCCTGAGCCAGGTTTCTTGGTGCCCAGGTTCTTTTCGCCCCACTCATGATGAATCTTCCTAAAGCCTGGCTGTGAGGGCATTTTTTTTTTCCATCCCTAGTCTTTAATGCCTCTCCCGTTAGCCAGGAGCCAAGCAGCTTCCTTTGAGCACTTGACCCTCTATAAACACAACTCAACTCACTTTTGAAAAGCATATCTGTCTACACACCATGCCACCCTGAACACGCCCAATCCCGTTTGATCTCGGAAGCTAAGCAGGGTCAGACCTGGTTAGTACTTGGATGGGAGACCACCTAGGAAGACCGGGTGCTGTAGGCATTAAAAAAAAAAAAAAAAAAAAAGCATATCTACTTTGCACATTATTCATTCTACTTGTCCAGGCTTTTCCAGCCATCGTACTTTTGTTCGCGCCATTCCTTGCCTGCATGTCTCTTCCTCATCTACATATCTTAAATCTGTCAGCTCCTCTGCAATGTAGCCTCAGATCTTAGAGCAGAAAGTCATCTCTCCTTCATCTGAACTTTCATGGCACTTGGTCTGAAACCTTTTGATGATGGCTTTCCATATTGTTTAACTTATATTTCTGGTACTGTATATTATTTGCATGTCTAATTTCCCTTACCAGACTGTGCATTCGAGGATGAGATTTATGTCACTATCACCTCTGTATCCCACAGAGTGCCTGATATAACCTCTTATATGCAGATTTTCCATGAACATTTCCCAAATGAATGATTAAGATGTGTGATGAATTTTATCCTTGTAACATCAGCATTATACTAAATGTTCCTCTGTACTTTGTTTGCCTTATTGAACACGATTAGTTTAATCGGACCAAAATGGTACCATTTTCTAAATTTCCATCAGGTTAAAATCAGTGACCTCAGTCTGTATCCATTAAACTCCACAGTAATGTCAGAGTCCCAATTAGACTAACTTTGAACTAAATTTATAGTTTTAGCATTTCCATTTTTAGGTAGGAACTAATTATTAAATTCAAGACAGTAAGATCAGAATCATTACTGCCTTTTGTAAAGATTTTAAAAGACTTAAGAGAACTGTAATCTTTCTGTAGCATTTCAGAGTTCACTGGCCAAGATATTTATGTTTTGTTAAGAATCATTCTTTAAAATTATAGTTCTGAAAGTATTTCTTCTTCTTTCAAAAGAGAACTTTTGAAAATTTTTTTTTCTCTTTTTTTCTTCCCATAGCAAGGATTTAAAGGATTCCAGGTTGCTCCAGATCATCATGATGACTATAAGACTTTTATCTATAATAATAACGAATTCACCCTTGCTCATGGTTCTGTGGTAATTGCTGCCATTACCAGTTGCACAAACACCAGTAATCCATCTGTGATGTTAGGAGCAGGTAAGTGCATTTGAAACCCTCCTCATGGCCATATGGATAAGTGACCCAGGAGCTTAGCTGAGTTCTACATCTAGTTCCCTGAATCTTGTCTTTTCCAGAGGGATTTTATGGCCCAGAAATGTTTACACAATACATAGTGTTCAAAACAAGGTAAATAAAGTAGAATACATAATGCATAATAATCTTTGGAATTAACAGAGAAAGCAGAAGAAGAAAGTAGAAGAAAGCAAAAAAAAGATGAATTTCTGATAAAGCCTCTTGTGTCATACTTTAGAAGAAAAATAACTGTTTTCCTGTCAGACTGTTCTCTGTAAAACCCCTGGTAGGCTTTTTATACAGTGGAATTTAGTCTGTCTTAGACATATTGTCAAGTGCATCTGAATTAGGGCACAGGGCACTCGATAATAATACTCACTTGCCTATTATGCAATTCTGGTTAGTAGTTAATATTTACGTGCTAAATTTCATTAATATAAGTTCTCTTTTGTTCTCAGATTTTTGAGCATCCCCAAGAATTCCTCTTGTGTTTGTTGTGTCCCTAGACCCAAAGGGTATCAATAGTTCTTTCCTTATGAAGTAGATAAGTGCATAAGGAAAACTTTCCTTGTCAGCTAAGCTATTTTTGTCTGAAGCAAACCAGTTTCCTAAAGCAAAGTCACCAGCTTGTCTCCTCATTTCTTTTCTATTTCTGTGATATATATCCTATGACAGAGCACCCAGTTTTCCTAATAATCTCTGTATTTGCTGAAAGTCCAATGCCCCAGGAGCTCTTGATCTTCCACTTTAAGAAATATCTGAGGACTAGATTTTTACTTCTAGACTGACTATATTCCTCACCACCCAGTACATAATTCATATACTTAAGAAAGGGCCCTTCCAATTATAATTTTCTTCCAAATAAAACATAATTAGATTACTTTCCCTCCAAAAATTAAAAACTCATTCTGTAATATATTCTAAACAGTTTTAGGTTTATCTCTTTAAAAAAAAAAAAAAAGCAGATCTCTTTCTTCATTTCCATGAACAATTTTGAGTTTACTGCTTACATGTAAATGATTTCGGGCCAGTGAGCTTTTGATTTCTATTAGGCAGCAGAAATAGCGGAACGTACCAATATGAATGGAGCTTTGTCAGGCAGTAGCAGGAAATGCAGACTGAAAGTCGGTCCCTTTTCCCAGCTTCTCCTGGCACCTAGAGTAGGTGACCACCCACCCGGTGTCTGTGTTTACTATCTCACAGGATTGTTAGCAAAGAAAGCTGTGGATGCTGGCCTGACCGTGAAGCCATACATCAAAACTAGCCTTTCTCCTGGGAGTGGTGTGGTCACCTACTACCTGCGAGAAAGCGGAGTCATGCCTTATCTGTCTCAGCTTGGGTGAGAGAGAACTTTCTTATACACCATTGCTTTTGTTGTATTCCACATGTATCTTGCTATGTCACCTTGTAATAGATATAAGCTTATCTGATGGTATGTAATTGTGCTGTCTTTTGTCAGATAGTGAGTAGACTAAAACTCTTACATTCCAGCAGAGTAGGGCATGCCCGTGGACATTGGTGCTAGTTGCTCATCATTCGAGGGAGTCTGTGAAGGGCAGATCAGGGGCTGAAATCAAGCCTGAGCTTTGGTGCAGTGCTGCGCCCTCCTAGAGTAGGGGGCTTCTTTTCTCTGCTATGGACCAGCACTGGCTCTGCAACTGAGAGTCTGCCCTTTGGTATGAAAATCATTATTTACCGCGGCTGAAAGTGTTCCCATTCCTTGATGTAAATTAGTGTTTGCTGCCAGATATAGTTTCTCCAACTTCCCCTTTACTCCTAATTTGGATGCCAGATTTTATTCATGTGCCTCATGAAAGTCAAAAGTCCTTGGGATTATGTAACAAAAGTAGTGAATAGAGACAATAAATGGCATATCTGATTTCAACTTTTAAAAATTTTAGACCAATTAGACTCCTTTTTATAATTTACTTAAAAAGAAGTCTAATTGAATGATCTAGGATGATTGAATAATATATCAAAATGATCCCAAGAATGAAAGCTTAGTAGAAACAGCACTGTACTAAACTTATTTCCTGCACTGCTATTCTCTTTAAATCTGTGGTCTCTAGGAACTGCTCCCAGCAGAAGGGCTTGCTGAGAATTCTATCCTGTGCTTCTCTTTTGGCACCTAGGTTTGACGTGGTGGGCTATGGTTGCATGACCTGCATTGGCAACAGTGGGCCCTTGCCTGAACCTGTGGTAGAAGCCATCATACAGGTAATTTCAAAGGAGTCTGTGGGTCTTCAGAGCTATTGTCCCTTTTCATGTATGTGACCAAAACACAGGTAATTTCAAGAAAGCCTAGGGAAGGAGGAGAATGTGGTTAGATGTATGGTCTTTGGAGTCAAGCTGTATAACCTTGGGCAAATTCATTAACCTCTTAGTACCTGAGTTTTCACAACTGTAAATTGGAGATGATAATAGTACCTGTTTCGTAGAGTGGTGAGCGTTGAGATGATAATAGACATAAAAGATAGTGTGGTACCTGGACACAAGTGCCCAATAAATTCAGGTTTTAACTACAGACAGCTCCAAAATTGTTTATTCTTGGTAATCTGCAAACTGGTTCAAAGTCAGAAAAGTTGCCACACAAATGAATCTAAACTATGGTGCATTGACTCAGTTTTTGTCCCATAAATTCTGTAGCGTTGAGAAATACTATGTGGTTTGCTTTGCATGAATTATAGAATCCATGTAAGTCAATTCTGGCTTCCTTTAACTTTCAACTTTTAGTCTTTCCCACCTGTTCTTAGGCCCCAGGCAGCAAAATAACCATGATGTCGCCTTCTGACCAACCTGGTATTTTCTCATCAGCAGAAACCACTGAACATGTCTCTGTGTCTTTTGACCCAGAGTGTCTACCACAGGGAAGACACTGTGAGCTCTTCTTTCCTGTAGGGTAGAGGACCAAGTGAAAGGGAGGCTTAAAGAGCTACATCCAGGTGGTGGGAAAACTTTGGCAAATGGTCAAAACTGAGCAACCTAGGCATTCTGTTCTTTCCGACTCGATTTTTCTCTTGCCTTACACAGGGAGACCTTGTAGCTGTTGGAGTATTATCTGGGAACAGGAATTTTGAAGGTCGAGTTCACCCCAATACCCGGGCCAACTATTTAGCCTCTCCGCCCTTAGTAATAGCATATGCAATTGCTGGGACCATCAAGATTGACTTTGAGAAAGAGCCATTGGGTAAGATTTTGTTTGTGTGGTTACAATTTTATTTTCCCGATGAATTTGGAAATACTATTGGAAGAAAATTAATGTTTTCCTTTAGAAATAATGAAGCTAAGAACTTTCAGAGATTCGGAGAGTCTTTCCTTTATTCCCCAATGCACAGCTAAGACAAAACTGAAATACACAAGAATTTACTAAAGGGCAGGAGATGATAAAAGAGATATAAATACGAAAAGTAATAGAGAGCTTGCTATTCTGGCTTCCTCTTTAGTTCCTCTCTTTCTGTCTCCTGTTTTAATCTAAGGATAGGCGTTGTGTTAATTATCCCCTGTAGGATCACATTCCAGGTAGTTTAACTTTTCAAAATTCAGAGAAAATGATGCTTTGTCTTCTTTCCTGTGGTCTTCCTGCTTCTTATCTCCTTAATCCATTTGAAGCAGATTAGATAATGTGAAAACAATTTCCCTTAAATTTACTTTTAGGAAATTACAACTTCAGAGGTACAGTTGATTCTTTTTACATGTGGATTCGATATTTGTGAATTTGCTTATTCACAAAAATGTACTTTAACCCCCAAATCAATGCTTATCATGCTTCCATGCTCATTCACAGACATGCACAAAGGAGGGAAAACTGAGTCATTCAACATGCACATTTTCAGCTGAAATCAAACAAGGCAGTCTTCTGCCTTCTTATTTCAGCTGTCATACTGTAAATAAGTATCCTGTTTGTGCTCTATTTAATGCCATGTTTTTCACATATGTGTGCTTTTAGCGGTGATTTTTTTGTTTAAAATGGCCCCACATATAGTACTGAAGTGCTGTATAGTGTTTCTAAGCCCAATTAGCCCCATATTAAATAGGCTTTATTCAGGCATGAGTTATAAGAGCTATTGGCAGAGTTCAATGTTAATGCAGCAACATCACCTATTAAATAAGATGTTTTTAAACAGAAACTCTCATAAAGCCAGGTTATATCTTGATCTGTTGACAAAAATGTTGTGATCAGAGTTTCAGAAAACTAACCATGAATTTCTTCTGGGAGTAGTGATTCAGTATTCACTATGCAGTGTTTGCATGGACTTTATAGAACATAACCACTGCAAAGAATGACACCTGACAGACAGAGAAAGACAGATTTGATTTCACTTATATGTGGAATCTAAAAAACAAAATAAACGAACAAACAGAAACTTATAGAAAAAGAGAACAAATTGAGGGTTGCCAGGCAGGGGGGTTCAGGGGATGGGTGAAAAAAGTAAAGGAATTAAGAAGTACCAATGCCAGTTATAAAAATAATCATGGGGACATAAAGTCGAACATCGGGAATATACTCAATGATATTTTAATAACTGTGTATGGTGTTAGATGGGTACTAGAATTGTCAAGGTGATAACTTTGTAAGTAATATAGATGTCTAATCACTATGTTGTACACCTGAAAGTAATATTGTATGTCAACTATAATTGAAAAATATTTTTTTTTTAAAAGAATGAGACTTGACTATATATAATAATGAAAAAAGAGTATTAAATGAAATTTTTTCTCACTAACATGCACTTTTTTCCCCAGGGGTAAATGCAAAAGGGCAACAAGTATTTCTGAAAGATATCTGGCCAACTAGAGAGGAGATCCAGGCGGTGGAGCATCAGTATGTCATCCCTGGGATGTTTAAGGAGGTCTATCAGAAAATAGAGGTGAGGTCCTGCCCACTCTGCCCCCAAGTATTTAGGGGAAACCTGCTCGTTTGTGTCATCTCTGAAGACCTTGAGGCTAATGGGGGTGTAAACCATAGAAGTAACATTTGTTTCTTCAGAAAACTAAGGAAGTGGTTCTCAGTCATTTTTGACCTGTGACTCATTTTTACAAACTCCACACTCCCCAGAGGTTCAAGTGGTCAAGTGGGCAGCAGCCTCAAGAAGAAAGGCCTGGGGCTATGTGTGATACCTGGCCAGCTCTCCATAACTCTTTTCTCAGATACCCTGGGTTATTGTGTCATCTGTGGTTGAGGACCTCAGATGTCACTGTTGTGTGTTACTAAGGTGGTGTCAACTGGTGGAATGCACCTCTCAGAATTATTTGGATTCTTAAAAATGAATGAATGAATGAATGCCACTCAATAGGAAGCAACAAACTGCTGAAAGAAAACTTTCTGTGCATTTTACAAATAGGGAGAAAATGTATGGAGCTCAGTATTATTTTCTGAAACTCTTAGACATTATTTCTTTCCCTGCTTTCTGTGTTAGGCTGACCCAAGGGCTACTAATTAGGACCTGGGTTGAAAATTAGAGAGTAGACTGTCTGGGGAGATGAGTCAAATGGGGATCATAGGCATGCACAGTGCCCTCCCACAAGTGCCTCATTGGGAAATGGTCTGAGGGAGTTTTGTGGGCACTGGTTAAATGCATTTGTTCAAAGGCTACATTAATGGACCCGTGGAAAAAATTCAAGCTAATTTTAGTGCACAGCAGCTGTCATTTGCTTTTCAATGAATGTGTGACCTGGAAGTCTGCTTCCCCTTATCTTCACAGAGTAAATAATTTCTCCTTTACTACAGTCTGGATTATTATTTCTTATATTTGTAAATATATATGAATTATTTATCTATTGCTGTACAACGGATTACCCCAACAGTTAGGGGGTTAAAACAGCAAGCAGTTATCTCGCAGTTTCTGTGCATCAGAAATTCAAGTGTGGCTTAACTGGGTGCCTCTACCTTCACAAGGCTCCAGTCAAGGTGTCATCTGGGCTGCAGCTCATATGAAGGCTGAACTGGGTGAAGATGTGCTTCTAAGGGCACTCACGTGGTTGTTGGCAGACTAAAGTGCTTCACAAGCTGTTGGACTGAGGGCCTCAGTTTTCAGTGGCTATTGGAGGCCTCCCTCAGTGCCTTACCTAGTGGGTCTCTTCACAGCTCACATCATAGCAGCTGACTTCCATTAGGGCAAACAAGCAAGAGAGGGTGAGAGAGACAGAAGGCAGAATCTCTTCATAACCTAATCTTGGAAATAAGTCACTAGGTTCAGCCCCACTCAGCAGTAGGGGCTCACTTTAGGGTGTGAATCCCAGGGGATGGGGGTCCTTGGGGGCCATCTTAGAGGCTGCCTGTCACAGTGTCTATGTATTTTTAAGGTTTTTTTTTTTTTTTTTTTTTTTTTTAAGCACAGCACTGTCTTAGTATTAAGGAACTCATATGTGACTAGAATAAGAATGGTTTTTATTGTACTCTTAGCTTGAATATATGTTTTATGTTTATGTGTTAAATTTTCCTTAGGATGGAATGTAATTAGATTGGCCTTTTTTCTTCTTTTTTTTAAGACTGTGAATAAAAGCTGGAATGCTTTAACAGCCCCATCAGATAAGCTGTATTACTGGAATCCCAAATCTACATACATTAAGTCACCGCCATTCTTTGAAAACCTGGTATGACTTTTTACTTTTTAACAAAATGAGTTCTTCAAAAGGCTTTTTTCCTTTTTGTCCTTTTTGTCCTTTATTATCCCATACCCTGGCTTTGACTACCCATTTCCTTATAAGCCTTGCAAACTGAAGCAAATAGTGCTGGGGAGAGTTTTCAGAAGCTAGGCTATTTGGCTGTAGTGGACCTAGAGTTTTTCTGTCCAGGGGTTCTGTGTGGTTGTGTAGAGACACCTTGGTGATCAAGTGCCACCAGGACATAGATTAGTGAAGTCTGAGAGTCTGTTCCAGGAGAATATCCCCAAGGCCTGCCATATTTAAACTGTATACCCATAAAAACAGATGAGCAAGGAATCTAAGCCCCCCTCGGTGGGTCCCTGTGGAAAGCGGATGGGAGTAGAAGTCAGAATTCCAGTTGTCCTCAACATGTGAGATGTTCCCTGGATGTGGAGAAAGAGAATGTCATTTCTGTGGACATGAAGAAAGAGAATGTTATTGGCAGCTGCATCCCTGTTGCTTTTGAGGGAACAGTGCCAATATTTTGCCTTCCCTTCAAGGGTGAGATATGAGTAAATTAATTTTTCTTTTCTAAGCACCCTAATACAATGCATAGAATTTTCTGTATGTTGAAATAGAGCTGTCATCTGGTTCAAGTCCATGGACCACTACTGTTGAGACTTTTCTGGTGACTTGTTAAAGAAAACCCAGACAAACACTGACTTGTATTCTTTGCTAGACTTTGGATCTTCAGCCCCCTAAATCTATTGTGGATGCCTATGTGCTATTAAATTTGGGAGATTCAGTAACAACTGACCACATCTCTCCAGCTGGAAATATTGCAAGAAACAGCCCTGCTGCTCGCTACTTAACTAACAGAGGGTAAGTATGTGTGAAATTAGGGCCAACTAAAAGCAAACGGGGAGTGGATAGGCCTTTTTACATGGTCTCTTTGGAATCAGACTCTGGGTTTTCACTGAACCCTGGGGCTTGAAAAACAATCTTTCTGTTTGCTATTTCAAAGCTTCCATGGGCGAATTCATCAGCACATTAACTCCATCAAAGAGAGAGGAGACCTTCTTTCTGAGCAAGTGTTGTACTTGTTAGACTCAACTGTCATCTATGCCCCCAGCCTGGCTGTGTTAAAGCACAAAGCTCTGCTCTTAACCTGTGGAAGACAGGGCCTCATTACACTTGAAATACTC